ACAATCCTTGTTTTATTGATTGCATGTAATGTTCTAATTTTCTGAGACGGTGGATTTGGTGTTTTCATGAGCTGTAAGCCATTATCATCAGAATTATGACAAGTCATGGCTTGAACGATCTTGCTTTGCATGTAATGAGTCTATCTCATATATTAGTTTCGCCTTTTAAGTTGCGTTGCTGAAATAAATGAACTTTTGCACGATATTCTAATTTTTCGAGTTTCACCTGTAGTATTACTAGTAAGATTCGTATCACTCTATAAAATATTAAATTGCTCATATAAATTTATTTAGGCTTTCCTAGGATTCTACATTCCCCTTCTTATGTTGGCATTTATTACAAAACATTCTATTAAATCAAATGTTTTTTAAAAGGCACATTTATATTTTGCTACCCCTGGAAGTATTGTCAGATCAACTGCTAATCTTCTATTTTAAAAAAGAAGTCTAAACAGACTAACATGCTTTCGAGCCTTCGACTCAGTCATGTTTACCAAGACATATTGACAGGTATGCCAACATAAAATAGCTGGTTGTAGGAACTTTGTTATGGCTTATACAGGTTACTTAATTAATACTGAAGGGTCAATAGATTTGAAAGTGGAAGCTGCTATTATTCCAAAGAAGACAAAGTGCTTTCAAATATTCATGCCCAAATATCTTCTATGCAGTGTTTCTAAACAAAATAGGTGTTAAAGTATTAAGCCCTATTCTGGTTAAATCTCATTTGCTGCAGTCATTCCTAAGAGGTAGAACTTTGCTTCTGCTTTGGAGGAGAGGAATACTGTTGCAGATCCTTGATAGGACTCACTAACTTAGCCTTTTCCAACTTAGACTTCTCTAGATGGAATCACAACTTCTAGCATTTCCACTAAGGATTAACCAGGACGCTGACTTGGAATGTGGGGAACTGTATCTCTATCATATTGAGATGACACCAGTTGGGGAAAAGTGAGTTTGCTGAATAGCCCAACAATAAAAAGAGCACAACAGCAACTGTATAGCTTTATACCAATTTATACAATAGCAGATAGACAATACTTGAGAATTTGATAATAAAACAGCCAACATTTTCTGCAAAAACATGAACCTGAGATACTTTAAGCACAATAATGACTGCTGTTAACCTTGTGACAACTATTTTGCTACTGACATAGTATATTAAAAATGTTTACACTATTTCGTTTGACTAAAACCCAGGGTTACACACTGCACGATATAAATTTGGCTCTGCACTAAATACAAGAAGCAACTAAGATTGTCTTCTGTGTGTATTAGTTTATTTGAGATGTTCAATTTTTAATCCTCCAAAGCTAGGAAAAAAATCCTGCATTTCTACATGTTATATATTATAATGATAAGACACTTCTGCAAAAATGTTTTCGGTCTCACACACTTTTCGAAATATGTTTATTGCAGCATAAACGTATGGCCATTACATTCAACCATGGATTTAAATTTTCTTTTTTTAAATTTTGATCTCTGATGTACAGACCATAAACATCCTTTCAATTGAAGAATATATTTGGAAATTATACCTATACTCCAGCAACACTACTTATAAGAACTTTAAGTTATATGGATTCTTGGCAATTGATGCAATGCTTAATAACAAGGAAGACTGAGGATAAGGGGATGAATACCAACAAAGCCTTCTAGGAAAAAAATGGTTAAAAGGAGTTGTCAAGAAGTAGTCAACCAAGTAGAAGCCATATTACAGTCAAGTAATATGCAACTATCAAATTTTGAAAAATAAAAATCGGAATATTTTGTTCTCAATATGAATAAGGGTACATCTATGGAATATGTATGGGATGCAAGCAAAGCGTATATGAGAGGAGTATTAATGAATATAAACAAAATACATAGACACAAACAAGGGCAAAAACGAAAAGAATTGGAAGAGGAAATTAAAGGGAAAGAGTTGGAATTAACATTGAACCCAAGTGATACAAAGATTAAGGAAGCAATCTCTATATTAAAATCCCAGTTTGATATGCTGGTCTCTGACCAGGTAGCCACCAGTTTATTATATGCAAAACACAATATTTTCTGCAACGCAAATAAACCCGGCAGGTGGTTGGCTTATCAGATTAGGAAAAAAAGGAAAACTCGAAATGTATCCAAATTGCGTTATAGAGGGAAGGAGGTGTTTCAACAGGAGGAGATCCAAAAGGCATTTCGGGAATTTTTTACAGAACTGTACAAAGGGGACAAAATTAGGGGTTTATATATAGATAAATATTTAGATAAAGAGAAAATCCCCCTAGTTAGAGAAGAATACAGGCAAAAGTTGAACCAACCAATAACCTCTGGGGAAATCCTGCAGGTAATCAAACAATTAAAGTTAGGGAA